AGGAATGAAACATTTCGATTCAATCAAAGTAATCATATTGAAATTCATGTCATGAAAACAACAACAACAACTACTACTACTACTACTACTTCTACTACTACTACTACTACTACTATTGTGATTATTATTAATAATATTTTACTATTATTTCATGCAATGAAACACACACACACACAACCACCACCAACAACAACAACAACACATTCTCAAACATCAAACGCACACATTGCACACGGATTTGAAGTGCACACACAACTCGTGTGCAATCGACTGGTGCTCACGTGACCGTTGGTGGTTGAGTGCGACGAGTGTTCGTGTCACACTGTTTCACGTCACCGAAACAACCAACACACTTAGGCACGCCAATCACACACACCACACCCACACACACACACACGCATGCAACCATGCTGAAATACACATCATCCAATGCCAAAACAACCATTGAACTCACTAGTCACGATCGATGAATCAGTCTGTGGATGAGTAGGTTAGTTGATGTTGTCGGTTCGGATGATTGACTGGACACTTCGGACGGAATGTGTGTGTGCTGCTTTGTGAACTGGATGGCTCGGTTGTGTGATCCGATGGAACACCTGACGTGTATGCAAACAAATAAACAGACAAACAATTCTCAGTGAACATCAACTCTATGTGGTTTGATTGACTGAAACAAGTGAACATCATTCGAGTGAAACGAACACCACTCACACTACCAGTCACGTGCCCACTCAGTCGTCCGACCCACACACACACACACTCACACACACACACACACACACGCACACTACTAATCACAATACCGACTCACCTCTCACCGATCCATATCTGACCGCATCGATTTGCATGGAACACTCGTCACTCATCTCCCACTTGACAATTCAAGCACAACGTGCAACCACACCGACACAAACGATCAGCGTCCGTTGATCGGTGTGTTGCAGACACACACGTTCCAAACACATGTGGATCAGTGGAGGACTCTTCAACCTACAATCTCTCCAATGTGTCATGTCAGTAGACGCGTCACTAGTCAAATACACTGTCTCGACTCACACACATACGCACGCACGCACGCACGCACACACACACACACAGACAGTCACGCACTCATTTTATAATTCACTCACACTCACCAACATTCACGCAATGAAACACACACACACACACACCACCACCACCACCACCAACACCACCACATTCTCAATCCTCAAACGCACACATCGCACACGGATTTGAAGTGCACACACAACTCGTGTGCAATCGACTGGTGCTCACGTGACCGTTGGTGGTTGAGTGCGACGAGTGTTCATGCCACACTGTTTCACGTCACCGAAACAACCAACACACTTAGGCACGCGCACACACACACATTTAGGCACACACACACACACACGCATGCAACCAATGCTGAAATACACATCATCCAATGCAAAACAATCATTGAACTCACTAGTCACGATCGATGAATCAGTCTGTGGATGAGTAGGTGTAGTTGATGTTGTCGGTTCGGATGATTGACTGGACACTTCGGACGGAATGTGTGTGCTGCTTTGTGAACTGGATGGCTCGGTTGTGTGATCCGATGGAACACCTGACGTGTATGCAAACAAATAAACAGACAAACAATTCTCAGTGAACATCAACTCTATGTGGTTTGATTGACTGAAACAAGTGAACATCATTCGAGTGAAACGAACACCACTCACACTACCAGTCACGTGCCCACTCAGTCGTCCGACCCACAACAAACACTCACACACACACGCAAACTACTATCACAATACCGACTCACATCTCACCGATCAATATCTGACCGCATCGATTTGCATGGAACACTCGTCACTCATCTCCCACTTGACAATTCAAGCACAACGTGCAACCACACCGACACAAACGATCAGCGTCCGTTGATCGGTGTGTTGCAGACACACACGTTCCAAACACATGTGGATCAGTGGAGGACTCTTCAACCTACAATCTCTCCAATGTGTCATGTCAGTAGACGCGTCACTAGTCAAATACACTGTCTCGACTCACACACATACGCACGCACGCACGCACGCACACACACACAACAGTCACGCACTCATTTTATAATTCACTCACACTCACCAACATTCACGCAATGAAACACACACACACACGCACACACACCACCACCACCACCAACACCACCACATTCTCAAACCTCAAACGCACACATTGCACACGGATTTGAAGTGCACACACAACTCGTGTGCAATCGACTGGTGCTCACGTGACCGTTGGTGGTTGAGTGCGACGAGTGTTCGTGTCACACTGTTTCACGTCACCGAAACAACCAACACACTTAGGCACGCAATCACACACACATTTAGGCACACACACACACACACGCATGCAACCAATGCTGAAATACACATCATCCAATGCAAAACAACCATTGAACTCACTAGTCACGATCGATGAATCAGTCTGTGGATGAGTAGGTGTAGTTGATGTTGTCGGTTCGGATGATTGACTGGACACTTCGGACGGAATGTGTGTGCTGCTTTGTGAACTGGATGGCTCGGTTGTGTGATCCGATGGAACACCTGACGTGTATGCAAACAAATAAACAGACAAACAATTCTCAGTGAACATCAACTCTATGTGGTTTGATTGACTGAAACAAGTGAACATCATTCGAGTGAAACGAACACCACTCACACTACCAGTCACGTGCCCACTCAGTCGTCCGACCCACAACAAACACTCACACACACACGCAAACTACTATCACAATACCGACTCACATCTCACCGATCAATATCTGACCGCATCGATTTGCATGGAACACTCATCACTCATCTCCCACTTGACAATTCAAGCACAACGTGCAACCACACCGACACAAACGATCAGCGTCCGTTGATCGGTGTGTTGCAGACACACACGTTCCAAACACATGTGGATCAGTGGAGGACTCTTCAACCTACAATCTCTCCAATGTGTCATGTCAGTAGACGCGTCACTAGTCAAATACACTGACTCGACTCACACACATACGCACGCACTCACTCACGCACACACGCACACAAACACACAGTCACGCACTCATTTTATAATTCAAACACACTCACCAACATTCATGCAATGAAACACACACACACACGCACACACCACCACCACCACCAACACCACCACATTCTCAAACCTCAAACGCACACATTGCACACGGATTTGAAGTGCACACACAACTCGTGTGCAATCGACTGGTGCTCACGTGACCGTTGGTGGTTGAGTGCGACGAGTGTTCGTGTCACACTGTTTCACGTCACCGAAACAACCAACACACTTAGGCACGCAATCACACACACCCACACCCACACACACACACGCATGCAACCAATGCTGAAATACACATCATCCAATGCAAAACAATCATTGAACTCACTAGTCACGATCGATGAATCAGTCTGTGGATGAGTAGGTGTAGTTGATGTTGTCGGTTCGGATGATTGACTGGACACTTCGGACGGAATGTGTGTGCTGCTTTGTGAACTGGATGGCTCGGTTGTGTGATCCGATGGAACACCTGACGTGTATGCAAACAATTAAACGTTCAAGTTTTCTTATTTTATTTTGTGCATGCGTGCGAGATATTTGATATCAATTTTTGATAAATTTTATTAGTATTTTTTTGCGACTGATTTTTAGGCTGGTTGAAATAAGTATTGATTTGTCGGTTTAGTGACTTTCCGATGTCTGACAGATTTTGTGTTCATTTATATACCATTTTGTGATTCAATATTCTATTATTCTTTTTTAAATTTTAGTGATATGATATATGTGTTGATATTTGATGTATTGCGTGTGTTAGTTTTAGGGTTAAAGATACCACTAGTTCACTTATTCTGCGAACGAGAACGAGGTTCTATGACCAATACCATTAAGCTAATTATTGACGCGTCCCAACCCGCTATCTGGAGAGAGAAGATCAAGCTTAAAATGGAAGTGTATTCTGCAACAACCAGAAAACCGGCGAATTTTTTACAAGTCAATTTTTTAAAGGTATATATATATATATCGATAATGCCATGGAGCTTTTAAATATTTAACCGATAGTTCGTCAATTGACTGTCTTTGAAATATTTAAACATTTAATCGATAAATTCGTGAAACGACCATGTGCGTGGGTGGTAAGAAATGCCCTCGTATACATCTGCACACAAGCTCCACAAGATAAAATTAAAAGCTATGAGTTTTCGGGGATCTATCGTCACCAAAACTCCCCCCTCCTTCTTGAAGATCCGGTGTTGAGATCCGGATTTTAAGTTTTCCGGGTTCACCTTTCGAACTGGCCAGAAATCAACCCTATAATACCGCCAACGACGACTGAAACAATGCAAATTCACAACAGTTATCACTGACACTTTTAAAGCTCCTAATATTGCTGATTTTGTGATTTCAAATATTCTCATAATGTAAATTTAGAACAACATACATAAGCGAACAATATTGAGGATTTAATAAAAAACAATATTGTTCGCTTAGATATGTTGTTCTAGATTTTGTGATTGTCATTCAAATCCTTGTTTAATATCCTTCTTCATTTATGGTATTTCTATCATGTTTAATATGTGTATATAGGTTTCTTACTACCTCGTGGTTCTTTAAGTTTTTTCTCTTTGCCATTCCGCTTTAAACCGCCTGTATGTTTTCTGTTTTATTTGGTGTTTGCCATTTATATTTTGTTGATTTTCGTCTATTAGATTTATTTATGTTCTGTAGTCTGTGATGTATATAACACCTCATGTCTCAGTACGGTTCAATATCAAATAACGGCTTCGATTTTCTTTGTAAATACAACCTATTTCGAGTGATTTGTTTGATTGCATGTTCTCTGATTCGTGAATTTTTGTTTGTGTCACTGTTGCTAACCCTTCACGCATTATTCACGTTTCGATGAACAGATTACGTGAATAATAATTCGATTATCCAGCTCATCGACGTTGTGTTGAGTGAATAACCGTACACTACAAGGAAGAAATGAAAGACTCACCTAATGACGAAAACTTGGATAATTCTGTTGAGGTTTGTAATTCCGTGCTGGTGAAGTGTTGGTTGGTAGTGAACTCTTCAAACTGAGTTTGTATACTGGTCTGTGTAGCTTGGACCATTGTTGTGGAATCTGGTATAACAACTAAAGAAATGTAAGAGAAGAGGAATTTTGTCGGTGAGTGAGTGAGTGAGTCAGTGAGTGAGTGAGTGAGTCAGTGAGTCAGTGAGTGAGTGAATGAGTGAATGAGTGAGTGAGTTATTACTGGGTAACATGGCGTTTGTCTACAGGTAATTTCCTAAAGAAAATGAACTATGTAGAACGTGTATTTGGAGTGTTGGATGTTAGAGAGCACATATTGTCACCTATTCATGCTTTGTCCATCGCAATCCATTTCGTTGACTTCTACACATAACCGCAAACACATGAAGGCTCACAATGTAATGATTTCGCACAAACGTATTTATTATTGTATTCGCCACATTGCAACATGTTCGATAGCATTCGATCTGCACTAATAATAAGGACTAGACAAGCATGACATTGCTCACCACCCAGTGATCAATCAATTGTGATAACAACGACTAGCTTCAGGGGAGCTGCTGCTATACTCCGGACATGAAAGAGAACATGCCCCACATACACAATGAGTTGCATTGATGCTGTCAAAATAAGCACAAATGCACTTATAGGATGGAAATCTCATGGACCAAGGATCATCAAAGCCTCATTCAAAACAAAGAAAGAGGGCATTACAATGAACGTCATCCAATGCTACGCGCCTACCAACGACTGCAACGAAGACGCTAAAGATCAATTATACGATAGGCTACAGTCAATCGTCGAGAAGTGCTCAACAAAGGATCTGAACATTCTGATGGGACATTTAAATGTCAAGGTTGGAATCGACAACACCGGATATGAAGAGATCATGGGACGACACGGACTAGGAGAATGGATCGAAAATGGTGAGAGATTTGCAAATCTTTGTGGCTTCAATAAACTGGTCATAGGCGGCACTATATTCCCACATAAACGCATCCACAAAACCACATGGACTTCACTGGATCACACTACGCAGAACCAAATCGACCATATCTACATCAACAAAAAGTTCAGGAGGACGATGGAGGACGTGAGAACTAAGAGTGAAGCTGATATAGCATCAGATCATCACTTGCTGTTGGCCAAGATGAAATTGAAACTCAAGAAGCACTGGACAACGGGGAGGACAATATCACAAAAGTTTAATACGGCTCTTCTTCGGGATACTGACAAACTCAATGAATTCAAGATAACTCTCAGCAAGAGTTTCCAGGCCTTTCATGATCTACTCAGTGGATTAGGAACTACTATGCAGAGCAACTAGAAGGAGATAAAAGAGGCAATCACTTCAACGTGTCATGAGGTTCTGGGCCGAAAGAATCACCATCACAAGGATTGGATCACGGCTAATACACTGGATAAGATTCAAGAAAGGAGGAACAAGAAGACAGCAATCAATACCAGCCGAACAAGAGCAGAAAAAGCCAAAGGCGCAAGCTGAATACACAGAAGTAAACAAGCAAGTGAAGAAGAGTATCAGAACTGACAAACGTAAATATGTGGAAGATTTAGCAATGACGGAGGAAAAGGCTGCGACAGAAGGAGACATGAGACAACTGGATGACACAACAAAGAAACTCTCTGGAAATCACCGTACACCAGAACGACCAGTGAAAAGCAAGGAAAGCAAGGTAGTCACCAACGTTGAAGAACAACGAAACAGGTGGCTATCAGAGAAGTCAAGTGTGGCAAGGCAGAAGGACCAGACAACATTCCATCAGAGGCACTGAAAGCAGACGTAGCGGCAACTGCAAGCATACTCCACATTAACTTCTGAAAGATTTGGGATGAAGAACAGGCATCAAAAGACTGGAAAAAAGGACTTCTGGTCAAAATACCAAAGAAAGGCGGTCTCAGCAACTGTGACAACTACAGGAGAATCGCTCTTCTCTCAATACCAGGAAAAGTCTTCAACAGGGTATTGTTAAACAGGATGAAGGACTCCGTAGACTGCCAACTTCGTGACCAACAGGCAGGATTCCATAAGGATAGATCGTGCACAGACCAAATCGCAACTCTACAGATCATTGTGGAACAATCAATTGAATGGAATTCATTATTCTCTATCAACTTCATTGACTACGAAAAAGCATTTGATAGCGTGGACAGAACAACCCTATGGAAGCTTCTTCGACACTACGGCGTGCCAGAGAAGATAGTCAATATCATACGCAATTTCTATGATGGATTAAACTTCAAAATCGTTCATGGAGGACAGTTGACAAAGTCGTTTGAAGTTAAGACCGATGTCAGGTAAGGTTGCTTACTCTCGCCCTTTCTCTTTCTCCTGGTGACGTCAACATCCGAAGGTAAGCACGGGATACAGTGGATAGCTAGGATGCAATTGGATGATCTAGACTTCGCAGATGATCTGGCTCTTCTATCGCATACGCAACAACAAATGCAGGAGAAGACAACCAGTGTAGCTGCAGCCTCAGCAGCAATAGGTCTCAATATACACAAAGGGAAAAGCAAGATTCTCCGATACAACACAGCATGTACCAATCCAATCACAATTGACGGAGAAGCTTTGGAAGATGTAAAAACCTTTACATACTTGGGCAGCATTATTGATGAACACGACAGATCTGATGCAGATGTGAAGGCACGGATTGGCAAAGCAAGAGCGGCATATTTACAACTGAAGAACATCTGGAACTCAAAACAATTGGCAACCAACACCAAGGTCCGAATTTTCAATACAAATGTCAAGACAGTTCTACTGTATGGGGCGGAAACCTGGAAAACCACCAAAGCCATCGTCCAGAAGATACAAGTGTTTATTAACAGTTGTCTACGCAAAATACTTTGGATCCATTGGCCGGACACTATTAACAACAATCTACTGTGAGAGAGAAAAAGTCAGATCCCAGTGGAGGAAGAAATCAGGAAAAAGCGCTGGAAGTGGATAGAACACACATTGAGGAAAGCAACAAACTGCGTCACGAGACAAGCCCTCACATGGAATCGTCAAGGTCGAAAGAGGAGGGGAAGACCAAAGAACACAATACGCCGGGAAATGGAGATAGACATGAGAAAAATGAACAAGAACTGGATGGAACTAGTAAAAGAAGGCCCAGTAAAGAGTGGGTTGTAGAATGTCGGTCGGCGGCCTATGCTTCATTGGGTGTAACAGGCGTAAGTGAGTAAGTGAGTAAGTAGCTGATACAGTCTACTTATCATAATAATATGTATTTGAGTATCAATAGGCTACGACTGAACTGGCTCTCATGACAGATATTGTCCAACAATCTTATTTGTGTATTCTAACTAAAACATTGATTGTGTACATAAATCATGATGAAAATTCCTTAATTCTTTGACTTGAATCACACTATCAGTATAGAAATCTTCCACTGTCAATTCTTCAATTGACAGTATACGGTCATGAAGACCGATGAACACTTGGTGGAGAACGCTGTAGATAAGTTGCTGAGATTTATGTTTCTCTTGTACGAGTTACCTTATTCGCTTATTCCTATTTCTCTCCATCTAATAAAACTCAAACTTGTATTCTCGATTGCTCGGGGTCCCTTTACTCACCGTTTTCATCAGATAAGATAAGGGTTCGCAATAGTCATTAGTGCAATCTAACTGATCACTTGTTCACAAATCAATTTATTGTGTGTTCGTTTGTTTCTCAATCGGCTTTTGTTTAACAAACGAAACTGTACACGATATACAGAGATGTGAATATGAGACAATCAAAGTACTTGACTTACCATTAGTTTCTACATTGGATAAATGCAATTCACTGCTCGAATTCACTTGATTGTATCCTGTAACGAGAATGTTGTTGAATTCCGTCTGATTAAGTTCTGTTGCATTGGGTGACACGAGTTGTATTTCTGAACTCGCTTGTACACCCAGAGTAGAGTTTTCGCTCGAGTTCCCAGTTGCATCGACTTGACGTTTTTGATAATACAATATGGTGACTGGTGTGAAAACAACCTTGTGACATATTGCATCTTTTGCAATATGTGGATTGCCAAAACGTAAACTATCTAAAACCTAATCATTGATGAGTGAGGAGAAAGAGAAGTGTGATTAGTCTTGTTATTTTGCATCTTATACGACAGTAGTAGCTTCGTTGTATGCAACCGTGAACATATGTTTAATTATTTGATAATTGTTCACTCTTAGTTTTGGTTTCTATACTTCACAATTGACTGAGAATATACCGCTCAGTCGTTCGTATGGAATATGAGTTTGGTGATCTGCTGTTGTCTGACTTCAGTGTGTGTGTCCAAAATCGTATGTGCTTGGTCTTTAATTATTGCGTCTTAATTTTCAGTCTGATTTTCAATAATTCAGACCTGGCTTTGCTCATGATCGGTCGGAAGATATTAGCCTGATCAGTCAGAAATACAACAGAATCCGTTACCTACAGGACATGTTTTAGGAACTCAACGACTCGTACCACAAACTGCACATACAGTGTCTACCAATCATTGTGACCCTCTCATTGGTGAGAGTTGATGTTGGATATTTTGTGTTGTATCAACATTCACGTAGTCGAAATAAAATTGCTTTAGCATTGATATGTGAAGCAGTCATGAAAAACGTAGGCACACATACCAAATGTTGAGGTAGTTGTGATAATTCTTCAAAGGCACATCAGTTTACGGAAATGGTTCTCGAGTCACTGGATGAAAACAACCATGACGACAGAAAACAACGCTCTGTCTGTTGTCAGTATGTGAATCGAACGATAAGAAATAAGAATACATGAAGAACTATTATTCCAAATGTCCATCGATTTGGTTCTATTGTGGATGTAAACAAGCTCCCTGTCGTCTCATCTCCTACATAACTGAGTGTTCAGTTTATGGCCCTCTGTCTGTTGATTTTAACAGACGAAATAGAGTAACAACTGACCAATTGATATAAAGCTTACGTACACAGGATTGTGTTAGGACATAGTGGAAAATCTGTTCAATATGTTAGGATTATTATTGAAGTGAGACAAATCGGTTACTACATTTTCTGTTTTCCACTCTTCACTACAGACGAATACTGAGATATATGTTGAGTGTTGTTTCCATGGGGTGTGATGAATTTTTGGAGAGTGGAAGTGTTTTATTGAGATTAAGTGACTAAGTTATCATCCTAATGCATAGAGATTGGAGTGAAAACTGATAACGGTTAAACTTACTAATTGACAGAATGATTGTGACAGGTTTCTGTAGATTTCAGTCAGTGGATTCAACAAGTCATCAGTCCATATGTGTGGTTTCGCGCCTCTATCGCTATACAACACTCCTTTTACTTCGAAGACGGGAGCTGAAAGTGAATAAAACAAACAGCTTCTCAAATTTACATTCAGTTGATTCAACACGATGTTCATCTTAGATTTGGATTGACAACATAGAAAACAAATTTGACTGGATGATGTTGTCGTGGAATTGTACTAATATAAGTGAACAACAGGAATTTTCATACAAGCTCGGTATGCAAATGTGATTGTCAACGTTTTCTAGATTGAGTGTTAGGAAACAAACGAGGCAGCGTACAAATGTCAAGCACATTGATTTGAGCCCCGAATACATGGCTGGTTGAAATTAATGAAAACCTACGAAGACATTTCATGGTGCTAACTGTAAAACGGTGTACAAAATGAAATTTCAGCAATTGGACGAATATTGAAGAGACCTAATGATAACTTGTAAATGTGTTTAAATGCAGAAACGTACTAAAAAGTGTTTCTTGATGCAAAAACACACAGAACAATATGAGGTAAAATGTATTCAAGTATAGGTGATTTCTGGATGAATATGCGAAATTCGTCGGTATTGGGAGACTGGAAATGTGATGATGAACAAAATGTTCATGAACATACCTTTGTCATTCGAAAAATGATACAAGATCAGAGCTGGACACAAATGTTCGAGATTTAAGCAACTGAACTTGCAGTCGTATGACAGAGTATATTTCTGTTTGGTTGATATGCGGAAGACAATGTTAGTGTACGAATGCATGAAATTGTGTGAATAAGAAGAGTGTGGATTGAGGTACATGGGAGAACTAGATTATCTGATGGAGAATGTTCTTTGTAGTTGTTTGTGTGTTATGGTATATCGCAGTCAGTCCCCAATTTATTCGTGTGCGTGCTTGTTATGGTCGATAGATGGGGGAATTTCGACTGAAGTGAATGAGTGTTAGATCAAACTGACAATGCGATGCGTCCACGCGTTTTGATATGAAGCGAGTGCTTGATAAGGTGAAGAGGTGATTGGTAGTGGTAAACGACTGAAGAATTGGTTTTAAAAAGAGGACTTGAAACTGAGGGAAGCTAGCGGTGAATGAAACATATGTAAAGACCATAAAACGAGCAAAGATAGTTTGACTACTTACCAGCTTGTATTGGCGCCGCAGTAGATGTCACCCCTACCGAAGGTGTTTGTGTAAACGTGGATGTTTCTGCGCTGCTGAACAAAAGTGACGAAGGTGTTGAGTATTGAAATTGAGTCGAGTGAGTAATGTCAGTTGTTTGTGGGATGATTGTGGAATCCGAAGCAAAATCTGTTGAGAGCGAGTAGTAAAAGTAAAGTAATATTCAACGGGATAAAGATCGTGAGAAATGTACGTAAACATTAGTGTGAGGAGAGGTGGAGAGAGACATAGGGCTTGATGTAGAAATAGGTTTTAAGAACATGGAGGCGGAACGATGCAGGTGGTGATGATACAGAATAAGTAAGCGAATGTTTGTTCAAGCATTCTGGAAAGACAGAGTACTCTGAGAGTGTGGGAGCGTGTTTGTAAAATATTGAGAGAATGGAATGAATAGTTGACAGAGGCGAGTGTCGAATAGGTGTGAGTTAGATTTCGACAAAGTGAGACAGGTGTTGCACATGTGAAAAAATGTGTATCTCACGGCGGTTTGACGAAAATGCTCGAAAAAATAGAGCAAATCCTGATGAACAAAGAGAATATTCAGTTGTGCATAAGTGAACATGTATAAGTTCAGTGCAAATTATGTACAACACCGGCACAAAAAATCAGCGTCTGTTCATCGGTGTGTTGCAGACACACACGTTCCAAACACATGTGGATCAGTGGAGGACTCTTCAACCTACAATCTCTCCAATGTGTCATGTCAGTAGACGCGTCACTAGTCAAATACACTGTCTCGACTCACACACATACGCACGCACGCACACACACACACACACAGTCACGCACTCATTTTATAATTCACTCACACTCACCAACATTCACGCAATGAAACACACACACACACGCACACACACCACCACCACCACCACCAACACCACCACATTCTCAAACCTCAAACGCACACATCGCACACGGATTTGAAGTGCACACACAACTCGTGTGCAATCGACTGGTGCTCACGTGACCGTTGGTGGTTGAGTGCGACGAGTGTTCGTGTCACACTGTTTCACGTCACCGAAACAACCAACACACTTAGGCACGCAATCACACACACATTTAGGCACACACACACCCACACCCACACACACACACGCATGCAACCAATGCTGAAATACACATCATCCAATGCAAAACAATCATTGAACTCACTAGTCACGATCGATGAATCAGTCTGTGGATGAGTAGGTGTAGTTGATGTTGTCGGTTCGGATGATTGACTGGACACTTCGGACGGAATGTGTGTGCTGCTTTGTGAACTGGATGGCTCGGTTGTGTGATCCGATGGAACACCTGACGTGTATGCAAACAAATAAACAGACAAACAATTCTCAGTGAACATCAACTCTATGTGGTTTGATTGACTGAAACAAGTGAACATCATTCGAGTGAAACGAACACCACTCACACTACCAGTCACGTGCCCACTCAGTGATCCGAACCACAAACACAATTGAACTCACTAGTCACGATCGATGAATCAGTCTGTGGATGAGTAGGTGTAGTTGATGTTGTCGGTTCGGATGATTGACTGGACACTTCGGACGGAATGTGTGTGCTGCTTTGTGAACTGGATGGCTCGGTTGTGTGATCCGATGGAACACCTGACGTGTATGCAAACAAATAAACAGACAAACAATTCTCAGTGAACATCAACTCTATGTGGTTTGATTGACTGAAACAAGTGAACATCATTCGAGTGAAACGAACACCACTCACACTACCAGTCACGTGCACACTCAGTGGTCCGACCCACACACACTCACACACACTCACACACACACGCACACTATTATCACAATACCGACTCACATCTCATCGATCCATATCTGGCTGCATCGATTTGCATGGAACACTCGTCACTCATCTCCCACTTGACAATTCAAGCACAACGTGCAACCACACCGACACAAACGATCAGCGTCCGTTGATCGGTGTGTTGCAGACACACACGTTCCAAACACATGTGGATCAGTGGAGGACTCTTCAACCTACAATCTCTCCAATGTGTCATGTCAGTAGACGCGTCACTAGTCAAATACACTGTCTCGACTCACACACATACGCACGCACGCACGCACGCACACACGCACGCACACACACACAGTCACGCACTCATTTTATAATTCACTCACACTCACCAACATTCACGCAATGAAACACCGACACACACACACACACCACCACCACCACCAACAACAACAACACATTCTCAAACATCAAACGCACACATTGCACACGGATTTGAAGTGCACACACAACTCGTGTGCAATCGACTGGTGCTCACGTGACCGTTGGTGGTTGAGTGCGACGAGTGTTCATGCCACACTGTTTCACGTCACCGAAACAACCAACACACTTAGGCACGCAATCACACACACATTTAGTCACACACACACACACACGCATGCAACCAATGCTGAAATACACATCATCCAATGCAAAACAATCATTGAACTCACTAGTCACGATCGATGAATCAGTCTGTGGATGAGTAGGTGTAGTTGATGTTGTCGGTTCGGATGATTGACTGGACACTTCGGACGGAATGTGTGTGCTGCTTTGTGAACTGGATGGCTCGGTTGTGTGATCCGATGGAACACCTGACGTGTATGCAAACAAATAAACAGACAAACAATTCTCAGTGAACATCAACTCTATGTGGTTTGATTGACTGAAACAAGTGAACATCATTCGAGTGAAACGAACACCACTCACACTACCAGTCACGTGCCCACTCAGTCGTCCGACCCACACACACACACACTCACACTCACACACACACGCACACTACTATCACAATACCGACTCACATCTCACTGATCCATATCTGGCTGCATCGATTTAAATGGAAAACTCGTCACTCATCTCCCACTTGACAATTCAAGCACAACGTGCAACCACACCGACACAAACGATCAGCGTCCGTTGATCGGTGTGTTGCAGACACACACGTTCCAAACACATGTGGATCAGTGGAGGACTCTTCAACCTACAATCTCTCCAATGTGTCATGTCAGTAGACGCGTCACTAGTCAAATACACTGTCTCGACTCACACACATACGCACGCACGCACGCACGCACACACACACACAGACAGTCACGCACTCATTTTATAATTCACTCACACTCACCAACATTCACGCAATGAAACACCGACACACACACACACCACCACCACCAACAACAACAACAACACATTCTCAAACATCAAACGCACACATTGCACACGGATTTGAAGTGCACACACAACTCGTGTGCAATCGACTGGTGCTCACGTGACCGTTGGTGGTTGAGTGCGACGAGTGTTCATGCCACACACTTTCACGTCACCGAAACAACCAACACACTTAGGCACGCGCACACACACACATTTAGGCACACACACACACACACGCATGCAACCAATGCTGAAATACACATCATCCAATGCAAAACAATCATTGAACTCACTAGTCACGATCGATGAATCAGTCTGTGGATGAGTAGGTGTAGTTGATGTTGTCGGTTCGGATGATTGACTGGACACTTCGGACGGAATGTGTGTGCTGCTTTGTGAACTGGATGGCTCGGTTGTGTGATCCGATGGAACACCTGACGTGTATGCAAACAAATAAACAGACAAACAATTCTCAGTGAACATCAACTCTATGTGGTTTGATTGACTGAAACAAGTGAACATCATTCGAGTGAAACGAACACCACTCACACTACCAGTCACGTGCACACTCAGTCGTCCGACCCACACACACTCACACACACTCACACACACACGCACACTATTATCACAATACCGACTCACATCTCACCGATCCATATCTGGCTGCATCGATTTGCATGGAACACTCGTCACTCATCTCCCACTTGACAATTCAAGCACAACGTGCAACCACACCGACACAAACGATCAGCGTCCGTTGATCGGTGTGTTGCAGACACACACGTTCCAAACACATGTGAATCAGTGGAGGACTCTTCAACCTACAATCTCTCCAATGTGTCATGTCAGTAGACGCGTCACTAGTCAAATACACTGTCTCGACTCACACACATACGCACGCACGCACGCACACACACACACACAGTCACGCACTCATTTTATAATTCATTCACACTCACCAACATTCACGCAATGAAACACACACACACGCACACACACCACCACCACCACCACCAACACCACCACATTCTCAAACCTCAAACGCACACATCGCACACGGATTTGAAGTGCACACACAACTCGTGTGCAATCGACTGGTGCTCACGTGACCGTTGGTGGTTGAGTGCGACGAGTGTTCATGCCACACACTTTCACGTCATCGAAACATCAACCCACATAGGCACGCGCACACACAAAAATTTAGGCACACACACACACACACGCATGCAACCAATGCTGAAATACACATCATCCAATGCAAAACAATCATTGAACTCACTAGTCACGATCGATGAATCAGTCTGTGGATGAGTAGGTGTAGTTGATGTTGTCGGTTCGGATGATTGACTGGACACTTCGGACGGAATGTGTGTGCTGCTTTGTGAACTGGATGGCTCGGTTGTGTGATCCGATGGAACACCTGACGTGTATGCAAACAAATAAACAGACAAACAATTCTCAGTGAACATCAACTCTATGTGGTTTGATTGACTGAAACAAGTGAACATCATTCGAGTGAAACGAACACCACTCACACTACCAGTCACGTGCACACTCAGTGGTCCGACCAACACACACTCACACACACTCACACACACACGCACACTATTATCACAATACCGACTCACATCTCACCGATCCATATCTGCCTGCATTGATTTGCATGGAACACTCGTCACTCATCTCCCACTTGACAATTCAAGCACAACGTGCAACCACACCGACACAAACGATCAGCGTCCGTTGATCGGTGTGTTGCAGACACACACGTTCCAAACACATGTGGATCAGTGGAGGACTCTTCAACCTACAATCTCTCCAATGTGTCATGTCAGTAGACGCGTCACTAGTCAAATACACTGTCTCGACTCACACACATACGCACGCACGCACGCACACACACACACACACAGTCACGCACTCATTTTATAATTCACTCACACTCACCAACATTCACGCAATGAAACACACACACACGCACACACACCACCACCACCACCAACACCACCACATTCTCAAACCTCAAACGCACACATCGCACACGGATTTGAAGTGCACACACAACTCGTGTGCAATCGACTGGTGCTCACGTGACCGTTGGTGGTTGAGTGCGACGAGTGTTCATGCCACACACTTTCACGTCACCGAAACAACCAACACACATAGGCACGCACACACCCACACCCACACACACACACGCATGCAACCAATGCTGAAATACACATCATCCAATGCAAAACAATCATTGAACTCACTAGTCACGATCGATGAATCAGTCTGTGGATGAGTAGGTGTAGTTGATGTTGTCGGTTCGGATGATTGACTGGACACTTCGGACGGAATGTGTGTGCTGCTTTGTGAACTGGATGGCTCGGTTGTGTGATCCGATGGAACACCTGACGTGTATGCAAACAAATAAACAGACAAACAATTCTCAGTGAACATCAACTCTATGTGGTTTGATTGACTGAAACAAGTGAACATCATTCGAGTGAAACGAACACCACTCACACTACCAGTCACGTGCCCACTCAGTGGTCCGACCCACACACACACACACACACTCACACACACACGCACACTACTATCACAATACCGACTCACCTCTCACCGATCCATATCTGACCGCATCGATTTGCATGGAACACTCGTCACTCATCTCCCACTTGACAATTCAAGCACAACGTGCAACCACACCGACACAAACGATCAGCGTCCGTTGATCGGTGTGTTGCAGACACACACGTTCCAAACACATGTGGATCAGTGGAGGACTCTTCAACCTACAATCTCTCCAATGTGTCATGTCAGTAGACGCGTCACTAGTCAAATACACTGTCTCGACTCACACACATACGCACGCACGCACGCACGCACACACACACACAGACAGTCACGCACTCATTTTATAATTCACTCACACTCACCAACATTCACGCAATGAAACACACACACACACGCACACACACCACCACCACCACCAACAACAACAACACATTCTCAATCCTCAAACGCACACATCGCACACGGATTTGAAGTGCACACACAACTCGTGTGCAATCGACTGGTGCTCACGTGACCGTTGGTGGTTGAGTGCGACGAGTGTTCATGCCACACACTTTCACGTCACCGAAACAACCAACACACTTAGGCACGCGCACACACACACATTTAGGCACACACACACACACACGCATGCAACCAATGCTGAAATACACATCATCCAATGCAAAACAATCATTGAACTCACTAGTCACGATCGATGAATCAGTCTGTGGATGAGTAGGTGTAGTTGATGTTGTCGGTTCGGATGATTGACTGGACACTTCGGACGGAATGTGTGTGCTGCTTTGTGAACTGGATGGCTCGGTTGTGTGATCCGATGGAACACCTGACGTGTATGCAAACAATTAAACGTTCAAATTTTCTTATTTTAATTTATGTATGCGTGCGAGATATTTGATATCAATTTTTGATAAATTTATTAGTATTTTTTTGCGACTGATTTTTAGGCTGGTTGAAATAAGTATTGATTTGTCGGTTTAGTGACTTTCCGATGTCTGACAGATTTTGTGTTCATTTATATACCATTTTGTGATTCAATATTCTATTATTCTTTTTTAAATTTTAGTGATATGATATATGTGTTGATATTTGATGTATTGCGTGTGTTAGTTTTAGGGTTAAAGATACCACTAGTTCACTTATTCTGCGAACGAGAACGAGGTTCTATGACCAATACCATTAAGCTAATTATTGACGCGTCCCAACCCGCTATCTGGAGAGAGAAGATCAAGCTTAAAATGGAAGTGTATTCTGCAACAATCAGAAAACCGGCGAATTTTTTACAAGTCAATTTTTTAAAGGTATATATATATATATATCGATAATGCCATGGAGCTTTTAAATATTTAACCGATAGTTCGTCAATTGACTGTCTTTGAAATATTTAAACATTTAATCGATAAATTCGTGAAACGACCATGTGCGTGGGTGGTAAGAAATGCCCTCGTATACATCTGCACACAAGCTCCACAAGATAAAATTAAAAGCTATGAGTTTTCGGGGATCTATCGTCACCAAAACTCCCCCCTCCTTCTTGAAGATCCGGTGTTGAGATCCGGATTTTAAGTTTTCCCGGTTCACCTTTCGAACTGGCCAGAAATCAACCCTATAATACCGCCAACGACGACTGAAACAATGCAAATTCACAACAGTTATCACTGACACTTTTAAAGCTCCTAATATTGCTGATTTTGTGATTTCAAATATTCTCATAATGTAAATTTAGAACAACATACATAAGCGAACAATATTGAGGATTTAATAAAAAACAATATTGTTCGCTTAGATATGTTGTTCTAGATTTTGTGATTGTCATTCAAATCCTTGTTTAATATCCTTCTTCATTTATGGTATTTCTATCATGTTTAATATGTGTATATAGGTTTCTTACTACCTCGTGGTTCTTTAAGTTTTTTCTCTTTGCCATTCCGCTTTAAACCGCCTGTATGTTTTCTGTTTTATTTGGTGTTTGCCATTTATATTTTGTTGATTTTCGTCTATTAGATTTATTTATGTTCTGTAGTCTGTGATGTATATAACACCTCATGTCTCAGTACGGTTCAATATCAAATAACGGCTTCGATTTTCTTTGTAAATACAACCTATTTCGAGTGATTTGTTTGATTGCATGTTCTCTGATTCGTGAATTTTTGTTTGTGTCACTGTTGCTAACCCTTCACGCATTATTCACGTTTCGATGAACAGATTACGTGAATAATAATTCGATTATCCAGCTCATCGACGTTGTGTTGAGTGAATAACCGTACACTACAAGGAAGAAATGAAAGACTCACCTAATGACGAAAACTTGGATAATTCTGTTGAGGTTTGTAATTCCGTGCTGGTGAAGTGTTGGTTGGTAGTGAACTCTTCAAACTGAGTTTGTATACTGGTCTGTGTAGCTTGGACCATTGTTGTGGAATCTGGTATAACAACTAAAGAAATGTAAGAGAAGAGGAATTTTGTCGGTGAGTGAGTGAGTGAGTCAGTGAGTGAGTGAGTGAGTCAGTGAGTCAGTGAGTGAGTGAATGAGTGAATGAGTGAGTGAGTTATTACTGGGTAACATGGCGTTTGTCTACAGGTAATTTCCTAAAGAAAATGAACTATGTAGAACGTGTATTTGGAGTGTTGGATGTTAGAGAGCACATATTGTCACCTATTCATGCTTTGTCCATCGCAATCCATTTCGTTGACTTCTACACATAACCGCAAACACATGAAGGCTCACAATGTAATGATTTCGCACAAACGTATTTATTATTGTATTCGCCACATTGCAACATGTTCGATAGCATTCGATCTGCACTAATAATAAGGACTAGACAAGCATGACATTGCTCACCACCCAGTGATCAATCAATTGTGATAACAACGACTAGCTTCAGGGGAGCTGCTGCTATACTCCGGACATGAAAGAGAACATGCCCCACATACACAATGAGTTGCATTGATGCTGTCAAAATAAGCACAAATGCACTTATAGGATGGAAATCTCATGGACCAAGGATCATCAAAGCCTCATTCAAAACAAAGAAAGAGGGCATTACAATGAACGTCATCCAATGCTACGCGCCTACCAACGACTGCAACGAAGACGCTAAAGATCAATTATACGATAGGCTACAGTCAATCGTCGAGAAGTGCTCAACAAAGGATCTGAACATTCTGATGGGACATTTAAATGTCAAGGTTGGAATCGACAACACCGGATATGAAGAGATCATGGGACGACACGGACTAGGAGAATGGATCGAAAATGGTGAGAGATTTGCAAATCTTTGTGGCTTCAATAAACTGGTCATAGGCGGCACTATATTCCCACATAAACGCATCCACAAAACCACATGGACTTCACTGGATCACACTACGCAGAACCAAATCGACCATATCTACATCAACAAAAAGTTCAGGAGGACGATGGAGGACGTGAGAACTAAGAGTGAAGCTGATATAGCATCAGATCATCACTTGCTGTTGGCCAAGATGAAATTGAAACTCAAGAAGCACTGGACAACGGGGAGGACAATATCACAAAAGTTTAATACGGCTCTTCTTCGGGATACTGACAAACTCAATGAATTCAAGATAACTTTCAGCAAGAGTTTCCAGTCCTTTCATGATCTACTCAGTGGAGAAGGAACTACTATGGAGAGTGATGTGAACCGGGAAACAAGAAGCCCTGACAAACTACGAAGGCTATTTTTCGGAACGTTATTTCATTTTATTCAAAGCTTGTAAAACACTGACATTTATTTTTGTCCCTAATCTATTCTACAGAACATAAGCTTTCGTTCGATGTATCATTCACTGCCATACCTTTTTCTGTTCCGAAGCTATTGTAATTTAAACATATTATTTTGCACCCTATTTTCTACTGTAATTCCCAGCTTTGGACATAATTGTATTTTTCCTAATTATTGTACGTTGCGGTCGGGTTATTCATTTATTTATTCATGTACCTTTTTACACTAATCTGAATTCAGTGAATCCAGTGAGTTCAGTGGTCAGGGAAATAGATCGAGTAGTGTTCCAGTTGTCTTGTCTTCTCTCATTCGTGTGCTTGCCCACCAATCAGGTGACAGAATAGTTATCTTCTCTCTACCCCATATCGAACTCACGCATACTAGTCTCAAGGTTAAGCTGATCAGCCTATCGCATCAAGGTCGAAATCTAGATTAGACAAGTATCCTCGGCACCAAAAAGTGGGTAGACAAATCAAGGTAATAACAGAGAGCAACTGGAAGGAGATAAAAGAGGCAATCACTTCAACATGTCATGAGGTTCTGGGACGAAAGGATCACCATCACAAGGATTGGATCACGGCTAATACACTGGATAAGATTCAAGAAAGGAGGAACAAGAAGACAGCAATCAATACCAGCCGAACAAGAGCAGAAAAAGCCAAAGGCGCAAGCTGAATACACAGAAGTAAACAAGCAAGTGAAGAAGAGTATCAGAACTGACAAACGTAAATATGTGGAAGATTTAGCAATGACGGAGGAAAAGGCTGCGACAGAAGGAGACATGAGACAACTGGATGACACAACAAAGAAACTCTCTGGAAATCACCGTACACCAGAACGACCAGTGAAAAGCAAGGAAAGCAAGGTAGTCACCAACGTTGAAGAACAACGAAACAGGTGGCTATCAGAGAAGTCAAGTGTGGCAAAGCAGAAGGACCAGACAACATTCCATCAGAGGCACTGAAAGCAGACGTAGCGGTAACTGCAAGGATACTCCACATTCTCTTCTGAAAGATTTGGGATGAAGAACAGGCATCAAAAGACTGGAAAAAAGGACTTCTGGTCAAAATACCAAAGAAAGGCGGTCTCAGCAACTGTGACAACTACAGGAGAATCGCTCTTCTCTCAATACCAGGAAAAGTCTTCAACAGGGTATTGTTAAACAGGATGAAGGACTCCGTAGACTGCCAACTTCGTGACCAACAGGCAGGATTCCATAAGGATAGATCGTGCACAGACCAAATCGCAACTCTACAGATCATTGTGGAACAATCAATTGAATGGAATTCATTATTCTCTATCAACTTCATTGACTACGAAAAAGCATTTGATAGCGTGGACAGAACAACCCTATGGAAGCTTCTTCGACACTACGGCGTGCCAGAGAAGATAGTCAATATCATACGCAATTTCTATGATGGATTAAACTTCAAAATCGTTCATGGAGGACAGTTGACAAAGTCGTTTGAAGTTAAGACCGATGTCAGGTAAGGTTGCTTACTCTCGCCCTTTCTCTTTCTCCTGGTGACGTCAACATCCAAAGGTAAGCACGGGATACAGTGGACATTTCTGATGCAGTTGGATGCCTAGACTTCGCAGATGATCCGGCTCTTCTATCGCACACACAACAACAAATACAGGGAAAGACGACCAGTGTAGCAGCAGCCTCAGCAGCAATAGGTCTCAATATACACAAAGGGAAAAGCAAGATTCTCCGATACAACACAGCATGCAACAATACAATCACAATTTACGGAGAAGATTTGGAAGATGTAAAAACCTTTACATACTTGGGCAGCATTATTGATGAACACGACAGATCTGATGCAGATGTGAAGGCACGGATTGGCAAAGCAAGAGCGGCATATTTACAACTGAAGAACATCTGAAACTCAAAACAATTGGCAACCAACACCAAGGTCCGAATTTTCAATACAAATGTCAAGACAGTTCTACTGTATGGGGCGGAAACCTGGAAAACCACCAAAGCCATCGTCCAGAAGATACAAGTGTTTATTAACAGTTGTCTACGCAAAATACTTTGGAACTGGATGGAACTAGTAAAAGAAGGCCCAGTAAAGAGTGGGTTGTAGAATGTCGGTCGGCGGCCTATGCTTCATTGGGTGTAACAGGCGTAAGTGAGTAAGTGAGTAAGTAGCTGATACAGTCTTCTAATCATAATAATATGTATTTGATTATCAATAGGCTACGACTGAACTGGCTCTCATGACAGATATTGTCCAACAATCTTATTTGTGTATTCTAACTAAAACATTGATTGTGTACATAAATCATGATGAAAATTCCTTAATTCTTTGACTTGAATCATACTATCAGTATAGAAATCTTCCACTGTCAATTCTTCAATTGACAGTATACGGTCATGAAGACCGATGAACACTTGGTGGAGAACGCTGTCGATAAGTTGCTGAGATTTATGTTTCTCTTGTACGAGTTACCTTATTCGCTTATTCCTATTTCTCTCCATCTAATAAAACTCAAACTTGTATTCTCGATTGCTCGAGGTCCCTTTACTCACCGTTTTCATCAGATAAGATAAGGGTTCGCAATAGTCATTAGTGCAATCTAACTGATCACTTGTTCACAAATCAATTTATTGTGTGTTCGTTTGTTTCTTAATCGGCTTTTATTTAACAAACGAAACTGTACACGATATACAGAGATGTGATTTCGGGACAATCAAATCACTTGATCAAGCAAATTTAATGATTATTACAAATGTTATAAAGTGTTTCTCGTTGACTTACCGCTAGTTTCTACATTGGAAACTTGTAATTCACTGCTCGAATTCGCTTGATTGTATCCTGTAACGAGAATGTTGTTGAATTCCGTCTGATTAAGTTCTGTTGCATTGGGTGACACGAGTTGTATTTCTGAACTCGCTTGTACACCCAGAGTAGAGTTTCCGCTCGAGTTCCCAGTTGCATCGACTTGACGTTTTTGATAATACAATATGGTGACTGGTGTGAAAACAACCTTGTGACATATTGCATCTTTTGCAATATGTGGATTGCCAAAGCGTAAACTATCTAAAACCTAATCATTGATGAGTGAGGAGAAAGAGAAGTGTGATTAGTCTTGTTATTTTGCATCTTATACGACAGTAGTAGCTTCGTTGTATGCAACCGTGAACATATGTTTAATTATTTGATAATTGTTCACTCTTAGTTTTGGTTTCTATACTTCACAATTGACTGAGAATATACCGCTCAGTCGTTCGTATGGAATATGAGTTTGGTGATCTGCTGTTGTCTGACTTCAGTGTGTTTATCCAAGATCGTATGTGCTTGGTCTTTAATTATTGCGTCTTAATTTTTAGTCTGATTTTCAATAATTCAGACCTGGCTTTGCTCATGATCGGTCGGAAGATATTAGCCTGATCAGTCAGAAATACAACAGAATCCGTTACCTACAGGACATGTTTTAGGAACTCAACGACTCGTACCACAAACTGCACATACAGTGTCTACCAATCATTGTGACCCTCTCATTGGTGAGAGTTGATGTTGGATATTTTGTGTTGTATCAACATTCACGTGGTCGAAATAAAATTGCTTTAGCATTGATATGTGAAGCAGTCATGAAAAACGTAGGCACACATACCAAATGTTGAGGTAGTTGTGATAATTCTTCAAAGGCACATCAGTTTACGGAAATGGTTCTCGAGTCACTGGATGAAAACAACCATGACGACAGAAAACAACGCTCTGTCTGTTGTCAGTATGTGAATCGAACGATAAGAAATAAGAATACAAGAAGAACTATTATTCCAAATGTCCGTCGATTTGGTTCTATTGTGGATGTAAACAAGCTCCCTGTCGTCTCATCTCCTACATAACTGAGTGTTCAGTTTATGGCCCTCTGTCTGTTGATTTTAAACAGACGAGACAGAGTAACAACTGACCAATTGATATAAAGCTTACGTACACAGAATTGTGTTAGGACATAGTGGAAAATCTGTTCAATATGTTAGGATTATTATTGAAGTGAGACAAATCGGTTACTACATTTTCTGTTTTCCACTCTTCACTACAGACGAATACTGAGATATATGTTGAGTGTTGTTTCCATGGGGTGTGATGAATTTTTGGAGAGTGGAAGTGTTTTATTGAGATTAAGTGACTAAGTTATCATCCTAATGCATAGAGATTGGAGTGAAAACTGATAACGGTTAAACTTACTAATTGACAGAATGATTGTGACAGGTTTCTGTAGATTTCAGTCAGTGGATTCAACAAGTCATCAGTCCATATGTGTGGTTTCGCGCCTCTATCGCTATACAACACTCCTTTTACTTCGAAGACGGGAGCTGAAAGTGAATAAAACAAACAGCTTCTCAAGTTCCGACATAAAACAACAAACTTGGGAAAAGATGTTTGTTGAAACAAGACGAGTTTGCAATACATTGTGGATGAATCATTATTTTTCATTTGTGACTCTGAAAATGAGATCTGGATCATGTCTTTCCGGTTAAACGATGACCATGATACTGTTCTCAGAATATATGAACGTCAAATTTGATCCCACGTTCAGTGTTCATGGTATTTTGTATAATTTAATTAAAGTTCGTGCCACAAAGCCTTGTTAGCAGAAAGACTAGTGTGCCGTGATGTGGTTAGTAAGCACGTAAGAAACTATTCAGAAGACGAGGATTTCGCTGAATAACATTTAAGCGACCACAATGAATAGAAATTTACATTCAGTTGATTCAACACGATGTTCATCTTAGATTTGGATTGACAACATAGAAAACAAATTTGACTGGATGATGTTGTCGTGGAATTGTACTAATATAAGTGAACAACAGGAATTTTCATACAAGCTCGGTATGCAAATGTGATTGTCAACGTTTTCTAGATTGAGTGTTAGGAAACAAACGAGGCAGCGTACAAATGTCAAGCACATTGATTTGAGCCCCGAATACATGGCTGGTTGAAATTAATGAAAACCTACGAAGACATTTCATGGTGCTAACTGTAAAACGGTGTACAAAATGAAATTTCAGCAATTGGACGAATATTGAAGAGACCTAATGATAACTTGTAAATGTGTTTAAATGCAGAAACGTACTAAAAAGTGTTTCTTGATGCAAAAACACACAGAACAATATGAGGTAAAATGTATTCAAGTATAGGTGATTTCTGGATGAATATGCGAAATTCGTCGGTATTGGGAGACTGGAAATGTGATGATGAACAAAATGTTCATGAACATACCTTTGTCATTCGAAAAATGATACAACATCAGAGCTGGACACAAATGTTCGAGATTTAAGCAACTGAACTTGCAGTCGTATGACAGAGTATATTTCTGTTTGGTTGATATGCGGAAGACAATGTTAGTGTACGAATGCATGAAATTGTGTGAATAAGAAGAGTGTGGATTGAGGTACATGGGAGAACTAGATTATCTGATGGAGAATGTTCTTTGTAGTTGTTTGTGTGTTATGGTATATCGCAGTCAGTCCCCAATTTATTCGTGTGCGTGCTTGTTATGGTCGATAGATGGGGGAATTTCGACTGAAGTGAATGAGTGTTAGATCAAACTGACAATGCGATGCGTCCACGCGTTTTGATATGAAGCGAGTGCTTGATAAGGTGAAGAGGTGATTGGTAGTGGTAAACGACTGAAGAATTGGTTTTAAAAAGAGGACTTGAAACTGAGGGAAGCTAGCGGTGAATGAAACATATGTAAAGACCATAAAACGAGCAAAGATAGTTTGACTACTTACCAGCTTGTATTGGCGCCGCAGTAGATGTCACCCCTACCGAAGGTGTTTGTGTAAACGTGGATGTTTCTGCGCTGCTGAACAAAAGTGACGAAGGTGTGGAGTATTGAGATTGAGTCGAGTGAGTAATGTCAGTTGTTTGTGGGATGATTGTGGAATCTGAAGCAAAATCTGTTGAGAGCGAGTAGTAAAAGTAAAGTAATATTCAACAGGATAAAGATCGTGAGAAATGTACGTAAACATTAGTGTGAGGAGAGGTGGAGAGAGACATAGGGCTTGATGTAGAAATAGGTTTTAAGAACATGGAGGCGGAACGATGCAGGTGGTGATGATACAGAATAAGTAAGCGAATGTTTGTTCAAGCATTCTGGAAAGACAGAGAACTCTGAGAGTGTGAGAGCGTGTTTGTAAAATATTGAGAGAATGGAGTGAATGGTTGACAGAGGCGAGTGTCGAATAAGTGTGAGTTAGATTTTGACAAAGTGAGACAGGTGTTGCACATGTGAAAAAATGTGTATCTCACGGCGGTTTGACGAAAATGCTCGAAAAAATAGAGCAAATCCTGATGAACAAAGAGAATATTCACTAGTGCATAAGTGAACATGTTTAAGTTCAGTGCTTACTTACTTACTTACTTACTTACTTACTTACTTACTTACTTACGCCTGTTACCCCTCGTGAAGGAGCATAGGCCGCTCACCAGCATTCTCCATCCAACCCTGTCCTGGGCAATCCTTTCAAGCTCTTTCCAGTTCTTATTCATCTTTTTCATATCTGCTTCTATTTCCCGACGTAATGTGTTCTTTGGCCTTCCTCTTTTCCGCTTCCCTTCAGGATTCCAAGTTAGCGCTTCTCTCGTAATGCAGTTTGATGATTTCCTCAATGTATGTCCTATCCATTTCCATCGTCTTTTCCTAATTTCCTCTTCAGCTGGAAGCTGGTTGGTTCTCTCCCACAAAAGGCTGTTGCTGATGGTATCCGGCCAATGGATGTTGAGTATCATGCGTAGACAGCTATTAATAAATACCTGTACCTTCTTGATGGTGGTTGTTGTAGTTCTCCAAGTTTCAGCTCCGTACAGTAGAACTGCCTTGACGTTCGTATTGAAGATTCTGACTTTGATATTGGTTGAAAGTTGTTTTGAGTTCCATATGTTCTTCAGTTGAAGGAATGCCGCTCTAGCTTTGCCAATCCTCGCCTGCTGCTACACTGGCTGTCTTTATCTGCATTTGTTCGTGTGTATGTGATAGGAGGGCTAGGTCATCTGCGAAGTCCAAGTCGTCTAATTGGTTCTGAGCTGTCCATCGTATGCCGTAGTTTCTCTCAGATGTCGAGGTCTTCATAATCCAGTCGACCACCAGAAGAAACAGGAAGGGAGAGAGTAGACAGCCTTGTCTTACTCCGGTCCTTACTTGGAATGCGTCTGTCAGCTGTCCTCCATGCACTACTTTGCACTGTAGTCCATCGTATGAGTTCCCGATAATGTTGACAATCTTCTCAGGAACTCCGTAGTGTCGAAGAAGTTTCCATAACGTCCTCCTATCATAAGTTCAGTGCGACATATGCAAAAACACAGGCACAAAAAATTAGAGTCCGTTGATCGGTGTGTTGCAGACACACACGTTTCAAACACATGTGGATCAGTGGAGGACTCTTCAACCTACAATCTCTCCAATGTGTCATGTCAGTAGACGCGTCACTAGTCAAATACACTGTCTCGACTCACACACAACGCACACACACACAGTCACGCACTCATTTATCAATTCACTCACACTCACCAACATTCATTGTAGTGATTTCAATCATTAAGATCATGAGTCAGCTGAAGCTCATGATCTTAATGATTGAAATCACTACAATCTCTACAAAACCCCTTCTGATAAATATCAACATATGCTCACTAGTGACTGGCTTCAAGAGGTATATCCTGGAGTTCTAGTGATAAGTAGTGACCAGTGGAGTTCAACCAGGTCTGTTGTGGGATAGAAACTCACTGAAGACAGTGGTGGATGTGTCGCTCAATTTCGTGGATTAGTTGAAGTTAGACATGAACATCGTTGGATGCCGGCTCAGTGGTCTAGTGGTTAAGTGCTCGCGCACGAAACCAGTTGGTCCTGGGTTCGAATCTCGCAGGGGGCGAGGTCGTGGATGCGCACTGCTGAGGAGTCCCACAATAGGACGAAACGGCCGTCCAGTGCTTCCAGGTTTTCCATGGTGGTCTAGCTTCAACTGACTCATGATCTTAATGATTGAAATCACCACAATCTCCACAAAACCCCTTCTGATAATAATTAAGCC